ACAACTAGCTGTTTCTTCCTATATAGCCCATTGTGTAGCTTTGCACTAAAACGAACAAACAAAAGAACCTGTTTTCTTTTGTAAGATGAAAACAACTTATCAATACAATATACCTTTTGATTTTGTAGTTTGTGTTTTGCCCCCAGTGGCTCATCGATAAGTCTGAAGACTTATAGCGCTAAAAACCGGGTTTTGATACTTGTGATGAACACAGCACGCCCCATTGAATAGCTTTGTGCTTAACAACAAACAAACGATGTTTTTTTTATTCTGATTTTGCTGCCATTCAAGCGACCAAGAGTACCCATCTGATGAATCAGTACATTCTAATCATTATAAGATTTCGTTTTAAGACATTTTGCATAATCCTAGTTAGACCGGTATATTCTAACAGCTACGTTACTCATTATAAGTTAATGGCTTGTTCCGACCTGTGTAAGTATGTAGACATAGCTTGCTTCGATCAGAAGGTATTGATAAGATGTATAATCTAACTGAGATTAAAGCACAGGATTATGATATTATGATACATAAGGAAGGGATATAAACGAGCACGAAAACAGAATTATAGAAAGATCAAAAATTAGCATAAGAGATAGATAAATATTAATTTTCAATCCAATAACTTTTTCCTAAAAATTGTTATTTTACTGACTGTTCAAAATATGTCTTAATGCATTACCTTATTATTATTTGAAAGGTTGTTTGTCTTCAAACAGTTGGGAGATTTGAAAGAAACAATGACAAAAATGTTGTTACAGACTTGTAGAAAAACAGTGATTATCTTTGTGTAAACAAAAATAAATTTACTTAGCTTATAGTATTAAGCTTCCTTGCACTGCTGAATTATTTTCAGTCTTTCAAACAGTCAGCTTGCACTCATATTAAAAATTCTTGTTCACTGATCAACAATAACAGCCAGTGTGCTTTTTTCAGAAGAAATGAATCCGAACGCACAACACTGGGAGATTAATACAGAAAATAAAATTAGTATAATAAAAACAAATTTATTTTATCTGGCTACTTTTTCAAGCTTAAGTCTATTTAAGTCATATTAAGTCTAAAAAAGATCAGTTACTCGAAACGTTGCTAGAGAAAATAAATTTGTTTCTATTTCAACGTTGTGTTTTTGCAGTAATTAATATTACTTTGTGTACCGAATTTTTTCAAGCCATTTGATTTTCAACCCTATATAGAATAAAAATGTGAGTGGTGTTATTTTCCACAAATTTTGAATGGTTAAGTAAATATTACAACGAACTCATCTTTCCGAATAACTTTGACTGATATTAATTCTGACATATAGTAATCGACGCGAAAATCAGACATTTGTGAGAACTATAAGTATGGGTTAAAGAAAGAGACTATTAAGCACTATAAAAATTACATTGATTTTTATGATTCATCAAATTTTAAGTTTTTCTCCAAGCCCCATGAGTTCTTAGCAGACCTTATTTGCTCAATGAAAGTTTAATATGAACCTTCAAGTAAAGAAAGTCTTAATTAATCCCCCTGAACAATTTTGTTATGCTGTATATATATATGTGTGTATATGCTGTAACTCTTTTACACCTTTATACTTCCGCTGCAGCTAAAAAGTGAGTTCAAAAACTTAAGTCTATTAATAACAGATGTTATGAAAAATGTCTCTTTATTATGGGTTTATAAACCATATTATTAAAGTTGATGTCCCTCGGTAGAACAATGCCGCTGCAGCTAAAAAGTGAGTTCAAAAACTTAAGTCTATTAATAACAGATGTTATGAAAAATGTCTCTTTATTATGGGTTTATAAACCATATTATTAAAGTTGATGTCCCTCGGTAGAACAATGCCGCTGCAGCTAAAAAGTGAGTTCAAAAACTTAAGTCTATTAATAACAGATGTTATGAAAAATGTCTCTTTATTATGGGTTTATAAACCATATTATTAAAGTTGATGTCCCTCGGTAGAACAATGCCGCTGCAGCTAAAAAGT